CTAACAAGTTCCTAGGCCAGTGGTAATACTACTGGTTAGGGACCAATTCTGAGAACCACTAGTAGAGCAGTGGTTCTTAAAATTTACCGCACGTAAAAATCACCTGGAGATCTTGTTAAAATGTAGATTCTGGATCAGTATGTCTGGGGTGGAAGTGTGCATTCTCTGCAGGGGTTAGAACTGGAACGAGCTGGTTTGAAGCCCAGAGTCCGACTCATAGTGACCCCATGAGACAGGATAGAACTGCCTCATAAGGTTTCTAAGTCTTTAATCATTACGGAAGCAGATTGCCACATTTTTCTTCTATGGAGCAGCTGGTTGGTCCAAACCACCGACCTTTCAGTTAGCAGCCAGGTACTTAACACTGTGCCACCAGGGCTCCTTCACAGTATGATATAGAACCAAATCCAACGCCATCAAATTGATTCTGACTCATAGCGACCCCATAGGATTTCCAAGGCTGTAAATCTCTGTGGAAGCAGACTGCCACATCTTTCTCCTGCGGAGCCACTGGTGGTTTCGAACCTCCAGCCTTTGGGTTAGCAGTCCATTGCTTTAACCACTGTACTACCAGGGCTCCTTATAGAACCAGGGAATCTTAACCTGAGGGTCTGAAGATACAATTCAGATGTTTGTGAATTTGAACAAGAAAAAAAAATTACCAACTGAAAAGTAATGTTTCCTTCCATTATGATTGGAGGCCATCTGTCATGGATTGAATTGTGTCCCCCAAAAATATCTGTCAACTTGGCTAGGTCATGATTTGCCAGTATTATATGATTGTCTACCATTTTGTCATCTGATTTGTTTTCACTGTGTATTGTATATTCTATCACTATAATGTAATAAGATAGATTAGCAGCAGTTATATTGATGAGATCTACAAGAGTAGATAGTGTCTTAAGCCAATCTGTTTTGAGATATAAAAGAGAGAAGCTAGCAGAGAGACATAGGAACCTCATACCACCAAGAAAGCAGTGCCGGGAGAAGAGTGCGTCCTTTGGACTTGAGGTTCCTGCACAGAGAAGCTCCCAGATCAAGGGAAGATTGATGACATGGACCTTCCTCCAGAGATAACAGAGAAAACATTCCCCTGGAGCTGACATGCTGAATTTGGACTTGTAGCCTACTAGACTGTGAGAGAATAAATTTTTCTTTGTTGAAGCTATCTACTTGCGGTGTTTCTGTTATAGCAGCACTGGATGACCAAGACAGCAACAAACCACGGTAGTAGTATTAGCCTACCTATGATTTTGTCACCGGTAGAAATCACAGATTATTTTCACATTATATAGTTGCTGCAGATGTTTCTAAATATCATTTACTATTACTTTAATGGTAGTTAGTGGACCCACTGCTAGACCTCTTTTACTGTACCAAAAACTTTTTAATAGTTGGGAACTGTATTTTAATATAGTTGGTTTCTGTTACAGATTGAGTTGTTTCCCTGCAAAATGTATGTCAGCTTGACTAGGCCATGATTCCCAGTATTGTGTGATTGCCCACCATTTTGTCATCTGATGTGATTTGCCTATGTGTTGTAAATCCTACCTCTATGATGTTAATGAGGCAGGATTAGAGGCAGTTATGTTAATGAGGCAGGATTCAATCTACAAGATTAGGTTGTATCTTGAGTCAGTCTCTTTTGAGATATAAAAGAGAGAATTAAGCAGAGAAACAGGGGGACCACCTACCACCAAGAAACAAGAGCCAGGAGAATAGTGCGTCCTTTGGACCTGGGATCCCTGTGCTGAGAAACTCCTTGACGCAGGGAAGACTGATGACAAGTGTCTTCTCCCAGAACTGACAGAGAGAGAAAACCTTCCCCTAGAGCTGACAGCTTGAATTCGGACTTTCTTGCCTCCTAAACTGTGAGAGAGTAAACTTCCGTTTGATAAAGCCATCCACTTACAGTTTCTGTTATAGCAGCACTAGATGACTAAGACAGAATTTGGTATCAGGAGCGGGGTGCTGCTCTAACAGATGCGTAAAATGTGGAAGTGGTTTTGAAACTGAATGGGTAGAGGCTAGAAGAGTTTTAAAGTGCCTAATAGTAAAAGCCTAGATTGCCTTGAAGAGACTATTGATGGAATTATGGACATCAAAGACAATTCTGATGAGGATGCAGAAAGAAGTGAGGAGAGCTGTTACACTGGAAATGGTGCAGACGGTGAGAGGCAGCATCAGAGCAACGGCAGCAGCAGAACCAGGAGACCAGTATAAGACAGGACTGGAGCCGAGAGCCGACCCACGGAGCGAGAGGGCTGAGTGCCTTCGCACAGGAAACTTCCTAGTGGAGTGAGGTGCCTCTGGGCACTTATCGGTGGAGCTAGGCTTGCCAGTCCACAGAGCAAAGGAGTTAAGTGCCTTCTGGCTGAAGTTTACTGGCAGAATGGGGTGCCTCCAGGCACTTATCAGTGGAGCTAAAGAGCTATGGAGCACTTGGCCCAGCAGGGCACATGCAGGCAGCAAGACCCAGGGGGCTGAGAGGTGAAGGAAGCAGAAGCTGAAGAGATAGGGAACACAGGAAGTAGAGCTGCCTCAGTCTCAAAGGGTAGGGCCATGGCCTGTGGGGTCTCAAAGGGTGGAGCCATGGCATCTGGGGCTTCAAAGGGTGGGGCCACAGCCTCCTAGGTTTCAAAGAGTCAGATCTTCACCAGCGCGTTCCGGAGTGTAGGGCTGCCTTTTACAAGTGTCAGTGGGATGGGGCCAGATCCACTGCCCAAAGATGAAGGGGCAGGGTTGCCATACCCAGGGGACAGAAGGACGGAGCCTGCCGGAGCTAATGGGGTGTAGTCACCACTCAGATGAACTAGGAGAATGGGGCTACCTAAATCTGAGGGAGCAGAGTTGCCATTCGAGGATGGTGGGCTGAAACCCAGGGCCGAGGGGCCTTCACCCAAAATCTGGAGAGTGTGACCAACACTTAGAGTCTGGAGGGCAGGACCATTGCCTAAATGGTCTCAGGGAACAGAGGATTATTTTCAAGCCTTGAGAGCTAATGTAATGTGTTCTGCTGACTTGCTTGGTGCCTATTATCCCTTCTTTCCCTGCAATTTCTCCCACTGGTAATGGAAATGTTTTCCTTTTGCCTGTTGCATCATTGTACTTTGGAAGCAGATAACTTACATTCTGGATTTCACAGATGAAGAGGAATTTTTGGATTTTGGACTTGGAGTTGATTGAAGACTTTTGCTATGATATGATAGGGTGAATGTGTTTTACATGTGGCAAGGAATGAATTTGAGGGGGGGCCAAAGGATGGAATGTTACAGATTGAATTGTGTCCCCCAAAAATGTGTGTCAACTTGACTAGGTCATGATTCCCAGTACTGTCTGATTGTCCACCATTTTGTCATCTGATGTAACTTTCCTATGTGTTGTAAATCCTACTGTCATGGATTGAATTATGTCCCCCAAAAAATGTGTGTATCAATTTGGCTAGGCCATGATTCCTAGTAGTGTGTGGTTGTCCTCCATTTTGTGACTGCAATTTTACATTAAAGAGGATTAGGGTGGGATTGTAACACCACCCTTACCCAGGTCACATCCCTGATCCAATGTAAAGGGAGTTTCCCTGGGATGTGGCCTGCACCATCTTTTGTCTTACAAGAGATGAAAGGGAAGCAAGCAGCAAGCAGAGAGTTGGGGACCTCATACCACCAAGAAAGCAACTCTGGGAGCAGAGCACGTCCTTTGGACCCGGGGTTCCTGCACCGAGAAGCTCCTAGTCCAGGGGAAGATTGACAACAAGGTCTTTCCTTCAGAGCCGACGACAAAGCCTTCCTCTGGAGTTGATGCCCTGAATTTGGGTTTGTAGCCTACTGGACTGTGAGTGAATAAACGTTTGTTGAAGCCGTCCACTTGTGGTATTCTGTTAAAGCAGCACTAGATGACTAAGATACCTACCTCTGTGATATTAATGAGGCAGGGTTAAAAGCAGTTATGTTAATGAGGCAGGACTCAATCTACAAGATTAGATTGTATTTTAAGTCAGTCAGTCTCTTTTGAAATATAAATGAGAGAATTGAGCAGAGAAACGGGACCTTCTACCACCAAGAAAGCAGAGCCAGGGGTGGAACACATCCTTTGGACCCAGGGTCTCTGCGCTGAGAAACTCCCTAGACCCAGGGGAAGATTGATGACAAGGACTTTCTCCTAGAACTGACAGAAAAAGCCTTCCCCTGGAGCTGGCACCCTGAATTCAGACTTCTCGCCTTCTAAACTGTGAGAGAATAAACTTCTGTTTCATAAAGCCATCCACTTGTGGTATTTCTGTTATAGCAGCACCACATAACTAAGACAGTTTCCTTTGTATTTTATTTTATGCATTTAAAGACTTTATTCTGAGAAGGTGTCCTTAGGCTTCACCAGGTTGCATTATGGTGTAAAAACGATTAGGAACACCTGGTGTAGAACGTGCTATGCTGGATGTAGACACAGGACATTATAGGAGGACAGAGCTAAAACACAGGGTTGGAGAGGCTCACAATGTACCTGTGTGCCGAGGAAGGGATGCTTGCGTAGTCTCTGAGACACAGTAGTGGTTTGCCTGGTTAATGGTGGAGGTAATGGGAGGGGAGAGGTGCACTCCCATACATCCTAAACTCCTAGCTGAGTTTAGGTTGTATGGGCAGATACAGAGGGCTATGATAATAGTCTACCCAGTTATATGTGACAAAATTGGCATAAGAATTGCATTTTTAACTTTATTAGATTTCATCGTTTCTTGGATGTCAACAGCCACAAGATAGAAAAGACAATAAAAGGGTAAGTCATTTTTATATATATGTATATACCCATATATTCAGAAATATATGTATTTTCATTGTAGATCTTTTTGTTAATATGGTTCACTATCAGTTGATTTTTTTATATTTTAGAATTTATGAAAAATTTATTATTCATTCTGATCTCAGCAAAGCTGCTAGTTGGAAGAGATTAACTGAGGAATTTCTAAATGCATCACTTCCAAGCATAAAGGAAATTAAGGTATGCCTTCTATAGTGAGATCTCTGTTGTGTATTCCATTGTTTCCACTTTGATTATCTTCAGCTTCTGTTAACATTTAAACGTTCATTCTATTGTAATATTGCCTACTGGCTAGAGCAGGATCTTCTGGAAATTGGCTTAAATATTGCCATCAAATCTAGTGTGCCTCTTGCCTAATGAATAAAAAGCATGTTCTTGTTTAAGTGTCTTCTTGTCAGCCCCAGCCTACTTTGAAAATAGAGATCAGAGCCTGGAGCAAATAATGGCACGGTTTGTTTGCCTTAAAAATTTTAGATTGCTTCTCAACACCTGTTCATAGTAACTACCTATATAATGCTTTCTGGATTCCAGGCACTGTTCTAATCAGTTTCATATTGAGTCAGGAGTGCCTCAGGCTTGATGATTCACTAGAAGTATTCACAGAACTCAGAAAAAATGTTCTCCCAGTTACAGTTTACTGCAGCAATAGGATACAGATTAAAGTCAGCAAAAGGAAAAGGTGCATGGGGCAGAGCGCAGGAGAAACCAGATACAAGCTTCCAGGTTTTCCTTCCCAGTGGAATTGCAGAAGGATGTACTTAATTTTCCCAGCAACAATGTGTGACAACATGTGGGAAGTGTGGCCAACCAGGGAAGCTCACCTGAGCCTTGGTGTCCAGAGTTTTTATTGGGGGTCAGTCACGTAGACATGAGCACCTGCATGGCTGACCTTAGCTACTCAATCTCCAGTCCCCGAGAGGTCAGACTGGTAGAGCTTGGCCCAGGGCCTCAGGCATACAAAAACGGGTGTTCACCATAAATCTCGTTGTTAGCCTAATGGTGAAGCTGGTACAGCATGGCTCAAGGCCTCAGGCGTATGAAAGCACTCTTTATCAGGCAGGAAATTCCAAGGGCTCAGAGGTTATCTCCCAGGAGCAGGTCAGGGACCAGTCCTGAAGACCTTCAGAATGTTCAGGGTTTGGGCAACCCAGGCCTATTGAGCTAACTAACCATTGACTATGCACATATATTAACTTGCTTAATTCTGTGAGAAATACTTTATTATGGATAGGCTTTCCTTATGGGAAATTGGCATCATAAGGAAGAGAGGTTCAGATAATTTTTCTTTAATTGTCCATTAATTAAAGAAAAGTGCTGTAAAGGTATTTCTGGAAGAGTGGGAAAGAACTGCAGTGCTCTGAATCCATGCCCTTTGTTGTTTTACAGTTGCCATTGACGTGGCCCTGACTCGTGACAGCCTTATATATAACAGAATGAAGTGTTGCCCAGTCCTGCACCATCTTCATGATAGTTGATATGTTGAATCCATTAGTGTGGCTATTATGTTAATCTGCCTCATTGAGGGCTTCCCTCATTTTTGCTAACCTTCTACTTTATCAGTCATGATGTTCTCTTCTGGCGATTGATCTTTCATGATGATGGGTCCAAAGTAAGCAACCTGAAGTCTTGTCATCCTTGCTTCTGAGAAACATTCTGGTTGTATTTCTTCTAAGACTGATTTGTTTGTTCTTCTGGCAGTCAGTATTCTTCACCAGTATTGCAATTCAAATGCATCAGTTATTCTGTCTTCCTTTTTCATTGTCTGGTTTCACATGTGTATAAGTTGATTGAAAAGACCATGGCTAGGGTTAGACACACCTTAGTCACTCAAAGTGACATCTTTGCTTTTTAAGATCTAAAGACATATTTTGCAGATTTGCCCAAAGTAATACGTCATTTGATTTCTTGCCTGCTGCTTCTTGGACATTGATTGTTGATCCAAATAGAATGAAATCATTGACAACTTCAATTTTATTCTCCATTTATCATGATGTTGTTCGTTGGTCCGGTTTTGAGGACTTTTGTTTTCTTCACATTCAGGCATAATCTGTACTCAGGGCTGTAGTATTTTACTTTCATCAGTAAGTGCATCAAGTTGTCTTCATTTTTGGCAAGCAAGAGTGTGTCATCTGCATATTGCAGGTTGTTAACAAGTCTTCTAAGGAATAGAAGCACACCTCTTTCATTTACTGTTCTTGCAGTGACCATTTGGGAAGAGAAAGAGGCAGTTCTCTGGGTGGATTGTAGAATTTAATAATTTAAACCCTATGACACCATTATATTAATAATATAGGCGTTTTTATACGCTTACTATGTGCCAGGCACTATTAATCCCATAAAGATTCTATTCCAATAATTTTTCCCTTTTGGGCAAGTTAAATGACTTAATCTCAGTTTTATTTGTACCACTCAAAATACCTGTGATGAAATGAGTTCCTTTATGTGGCATTTGCCTTGGTTCTTTGCAAAAACAGCTTGACTTCCCTAAGTCCCGAGGCATTACCTTTGCCCTAGTTTTCTACCCAAAAGGGTTTATTACTTTTCTCCAGGTTGATTGATATTTTTTGGGTAAGCTGTAAACAGCTTGATGGTTTGATACTTTTTGTCTAGCCCTGGGCTGCAGTCTGCCCTGTGATTGGTCTGTTTTATACACCTCACAGATATTGATCAGTTTACTATGCAAATTGAGTGACTTGTGGTCTACCAAGGGGATTGGTCAGTTCTTGGTTCTGCTGGGAGGGTCATGCCTTGAAATTGACAATGAGTTTGCTTATATAAGCAGCCAACCCCACAGAGGTTTTAGAAAGGCAAGAGGAAAGAAGAAGCAGAGAGAAAGGAGATGAGGAACCTCCTAAAAGAGCTATAACAAGGGCCAAGGGCAGTAACACTGAAGACAGTGAGAGGCCTGGAAGAGGCCCTGCAGCAGAGTTGGTGGTGACAGGCCAGGAATGGGCCCTGCAGCAGAGTCAGTGGTGATGGCAGAAATCTGCTGCTAGGAAAGCAGCTAAGAGAGCAGAGCAAGCTGCTACACTGGCTATGAGCTACGTAAGTTAGCAGTGGAGAGGCTGACGGCAGGGAGGCCAAAGCTAGAGTGGCCTGCATGGGTGAGAGAATACACGCATGGCCAACAGGAGGCCTGTCCTGAGGGAGTTGAGGCCTGCATGTCTGAGAAGTGGGTGTGCATGACCAAGAGGAGGCATGCATGGCCAAGAGGGGTTGTGCATAGCAGAGAGAAGGGCCTGCTTGCTTGCATGGCAAGAGGATCTGAGAGAGCTGTCCTGCACTGAAGAAGGGAGGGATGTACTCTCCACTTCGGGGAGGCTTTCAGACTGCCCACACGCTTCCTGAACCTGATCCCCAGTTGTAGCCTATTGATCCTGATCCTGAGTTGTTATTTCGTTAATAAATCACTTCACTGTAAGTACAGTTTGTTAGTTCTGTGGGACATTGCAGTGAATTGTTGAACCCAAACTGGAGAGGGAAGAATGCTGAGGGGAGGGGGAGTGGCTCTTGTCAGAGATGGACTGGCACAGTACCTTGGAGAAACTGGAGATCTAGGATATATTTGGCCTCTGCCTCATAGGAATTGGCTTTGTGCTGGTTGTTGTATTTGAAGTTATTCGTGTAATACCTATGTTCTTACAGGAGAATTAAATTAAACAAGTGTCCCTTCTGATCCCTACTTTGACCTTTTCATTTTCATCTCTTGTCATTTTTCTGCATCACCTCTGCTATAGGGGGCCCTGAACACAGTAGAACCTCAATTCCTAACTCTGCTGTGACACATCCTGTATTCAGTACCTGATCTGCCATTCCCCTTCCCTCCTCCTGAGGAACCTCGTCTTCCAATATGAAATTCAAGTATTATCTCTATGGAATCTGTGTATTTCGTATATTTGTTATCCTTATTATTGTTTATCGTCTTTCTCCCCCTCTAACATGTGAGTTTAACAAGTGTAGGGCTCTGTATCTGATTTGTTCCTGTTGTTGTTGTTAGGCACTATCAGGTCGGTTCCGACTTAGAGTGACCCGATGTACAACAGAACAAAACATTGCCGGGTCCTGCATCATCCTGACAATCCTTGTTGTGCTTGAGCCCACTGTTGTAGCCACTGTGTCAGTCCATCTTGTTGAGGGTCTTTCTCTTTTTCGCTGACCCTGTACTTTACCAAGCATGATGTCCTTCTCCAGGGACTGGTCTCTCCTGATAACACATCCAGAGTATGTGAGACATAGTCTCACCATCCTTGCTTCCAAGGAGCATTCTGGTTGTACTTCTTCCAGGATGGATTTGTTTGTTCTTTTGGCAGTGCAGTATTCCTCGCCAAAACCACAATTCGAAGGCGTCAGTTCTTCAGTCTTCATTATTCGTTGCCCAGCTTTCGCGTGCATATGAGGTGATTGAAAACACCATGGCTTGGGTGAGGTGCACCTTAGTCCTCAAGGTGACATCTTTGCTTTTTAACACTTTAAAGAGGTCTTTTGCAGCAGATTTTCCCAGTGCAGTACACTGTTTGATTTCTTGACTGCTGCTGCTTCCTGGGTGTTGATTCTGGATCCAAGTAAAATGAAATCCTTGACAACTTCAGTATTTTCTCTGTTTATCATGATGTTGCTTATCGGTCCAGTTGTGAAGATTTTTGTTTTCATTATTTTGAGGTGTAATCGATACTGAGGGCTGTGGTCTTTGATCTTCATCAGTAAGTGCTTCAAGTCCTCTTCCCTTTGAGCAAGCAAGATTGTGTTGTCTGCATATCACAGGTTGTTAATTAGTCTTCCTCCAGTCTTGATGTCCCATTCTTCATATAGTCCAGCTTCTTGAATTATTTGCTGAGCATACAGATTGAATAGGTATGGTAAGTTCTTAGGCACCTGAAACAGAATAGACACTCAATAAGTATTTGTTGAAGGAGTAAATAAACCTGTGCAGTCCTTTCTGCATTGCTTTCTCTCTCTCTGTCCTACTCCGGCCTGACTTAAGTAGAATTGCTCACCCGTTCTCCCCTGCTGTGCATTATATACATCTGTTGTAGAAGTAACTTTGCAATTCTTTTTTCAGCTTTGTTGGTATATGATTTATAGACCATAAAATTCATCCATTGTGAGTGTACAATTAACTGATTTTTAGTAAATTTATAGTCACGCAGCCATCACACAATCCAGTTTTAGAACATTTTCCATCGTCCCAAAATTTCCCTGAACCCCATTGCAGTCAATCCTTGCTGGCACTCAACCCTGACAACTACTAATCTGCTTGCTATATTTATAAATTTGCTTTTTCTGGACATTTCATATAAATGGTCATGCAATATCTAGTCTTTTATGTCTGGCTTCTTTCACTTGTTTTTGAGATTATGTTGTAGCATATATCATGTCCTGTTCCTTTTTAGTAATGAATAATTTATTATATGAATATACCACATTTTGTTTTTCACCAGTTAATGAAATTTGATGATTTCCAGTTTTGAATATTATGAATAATGAACTGCTGTGAGCATTCTGATACAAGTCTTTGTGTGGGCATTTGTTCTCAGTGTTCTTAGGTTTCTAGGAGTAAGAAAGCTGGTTTATATGTAAGTTTAAATTTAGCATTTTTTAAAACTGCAAAATTGTTTTCCAAAGTGGCTGTATCATTTTATATTTTCACTAGCAATGTGTAAGTGTTCCAGTTTCTCCACATCCTCAACAACACTTATTATTGTCTTTTTAATTATAGCCATCCTGGAGTCCCTGGGTGGAGCAAACGGTTAAGTGCTCAACTACTAGCTGAAGGATTGGCAGTTCAAACCCACCCAGAGGCACCTCGGAAGACAGGCCTGGCTGTCTGCTTCCAAAAGGTCACAGCTTTGAAAACCCTACAGAACAGTTCTACTCTGCAAACATGGGGTTACCATGAGTTGGAATTGACACGACAGCAACTAACAACAACAATAAAAGAGGATATATAAGATTCCTGGGTGGTACAGTTTTGCGTTTAATTACTAACCTAAAGCTTGGCAGTTCAAACCCACCCAGTTGCACCATGGGAGAAAGGCCTGGTGGTCTCCTTCCATAAAGATTACAGCCAAGAAAACCCTACAGAGTAGTTCTACTTTATAATACACGGGATCACCATGAGTCAGAGTCAACTCGATGGCAGTGGGTTTTGTATTTCACAAATATTTTCCTCCAATCTCTGGGCTGTCTTGTCATCTTAGTGCTACTCTTTCAAACTCAAAAGTTTTTAATTTTAATGAAGTCCAATTTATCAGTTTTTCTATTTTATGTCCCATGTTCAAAGTGTCATGTCAAAGAACTCTTTGCCTAACCCAAGGCCATAAAGACTTTTCTCCTATGTTTTCTTCTAGTACTTTTATAGATTTAGCACTTACATTTAGGTTTATGATCTATTTTGAGTTAGTTGTTGTATATGGTGTAAGGAAATGTCTAAGTTCATTTTTTTACATATGGAGCCAGCACCGTTTGTTGAGAAGACTGTCCTTTACCCATTGAATTATCTCAACAACTTTATCAAAAATAAATTGACCGTAAGTGCAAGGGCTTATTTCTGGACTCTTAATTGCTTTATTGATCTATATGCCTGCTCTGACACCAATACATACAGAATATCTTTATAGTAAGTTTTGGAATCGGGTAATACAAGTATTCTAACTTTGTTCTTTTTCAAAATTGTTTTGTCTATTTTAGACCCTTTGCATTTCCATACACATTTTCGGATAAGCTTGTCAATTTCTACAGACAAAGTCTGCTGAAATTTTGATAGCGGTTGTGTTGAATCTATGATCAATGTGGGAAGTATTGCCATCTTATTGATATTAGGTCTTCCAGTCCGTGAATATGGAATATCTCTCCACTTATTTAGATCTTCTTTAAGTTCTGTTGGCAATTAAAGATAAATGCTTGTAGTTTTCAGTGTATAAATCTTGCACTTAAGTGTTTTGTTCTTTTTGGTGTTATTGTTAATGAAATTGTCTTCTTAATTTCATTTTCAGATTGGTTGTTGCTAGCATACAGGAATGTAATTCATTTCTGTATTGATTTTGTATACTCCAACTTAGTAAACTCATTCATGTTAGTAACTTTCTTCAATATTCCTTAGAATTTTCTACATACAGGATCGTGTCATTTCCAGATAAAACAGTTTGACTTCTTCATTTCTAATATAAACTTTTTGTTTGTTTTTACTGGGGTGGTTTTCCCCATTGCACTGGCTAAAATCTACAATACAATGTTGAGCAGTAGGGAAAATACACAGCTTTGCCTCATCCCCAGTCTTACAGGAAAGCACTTAGTTTTTCATCATTAAGTATAATGTTAGCTATAGTTGTAGTTTTTTCATAGAGCCCTTTATCAGGTTGAGGAAGTTTCCTTTTATTCCTAATTGGATGAGAATTTTTTTTCTCATGAATGAGTTTTGGATTTTGTCAAATGTTTTTTCATACCTATTGAGAAGATCATTTGGGTTTTCTTGGTCATTTATTTTGTTGATATTTTGGTTTGTTTGTTTTGTCATTTTTTTTTTGCTTTGGTATTGGGGTAATACTGACCTCATAGAATGAGTTGGCAAATATTCCCCCCTTTTCTATGTTTTATAAGAGTTTATGAAGAGTTAGTGTTAATTCTTTAAATGTTTGGTAGAATTTACCAGTGAAGCCATCCATATCTGGGCTTCATAGGAAGATTTTAAATTACTAATTTAATTTCTTTACTTGTTATAGATCTATCCACATTTTTTGTTTCTTCTTGAGTCAGTTTTGGTAACTTGTATCTTCTTAGGAATTTGTCTATGTCATCTGAATTGTCTAATTTGTTGGTATAAATTTGTTCATAATATTCTCTTAACCAAAAAAAAAAAAAAAAAAAAATGTTGCCGTCGAGTCAATTCTGACTCATGGAGACCCTTTAGGACAGAGTGGAACTGCCCCATGGGATTTCCAGGGAGTGGCTGGTGGATTTGAACTGCTGACCTTTTGCTTAGCAGCTGAGCTCTTAACCACTGTGCCAACAGGGCTCCAAATATTCTCTTACACAGCTCTTCATTTCTCTACAGTCAGTAGTGAAGTTCTCTCCTTCGTTCCTGGTTTTGGTAATTTATGATTTCATTCTTATTATCCTGCATGTGATGAGTCATTTCTTACTTGCTTTTTATAACATTTTCTCCCTGTCTTTGAATTTCAACAGTTTGACTAAGATTTATCTAAGTGTGGCTCTCTTTGTGTTTATCCTATGTGGGATTCACTGAGCTTCTTAGATCTGTAGATGAACGATTTTTTTGTCATGTTTGGGATGTTTTTGGCCATTATTTTTTCCTGCCCTTTTGTCTCTCATCTTCTAAGACTCCTATGATGCATATCTTGGTATGCTTTCTGTTGTTGCACAGGTGTCCAACACTGTTCATTTTTCTTCAGTCTTTTTTTTTCTGTTCTTCAGATTGGATAGTATCTGTTTTTATATCACTTATTTTTTTCTTCTGCCATCTCAGATTTACTGTTGATCCCCTGTAGTGAATTTTTGTTTTAGTTATTTTACTTTTCAATGCCAGAATTTCCATTAAAAATTTTTTTCAATTTATTGACTGTCTATTGAGTCATTGTCATCATAGTGTCCTTTAAGTTTTAAACATTATTTCCTTTAGTTCTTTGAACATATTTATAATTGCTGCTTTGAAGTCTATCTGTTAAATCCAACATCTGGGGACACTCAGAAAGAGTACCTATTGACTGCCTTCTCCCCTCCCTTGAAAATGGGTCATACTTGCTTGCTGCTTTATGTGTTTTATAATTTTTTGTTGAATACTGGACATTTTAAATAATATATTATAGCAACCCTGGATTCTGACTTCCCCCATTCTTTGAGGGTCACTGTTGTTTTGTTTGTTTAGGAACTCGTTTGGACTTACAATGTATAAAGTCTGTCTCCCCAACAGTGTGTGACCGCTGATGTGTCTGCACAGGTCTTCTCTTATTTTTAAGCCTTTTATTTTTAGTTTTTAAACATTGTTTCCTTAGTTCTTTGAGGTCACCCCTGTGACTGCATGTTAATCCTTAGCCAAAGATTAGTCAGAGGTTGTGCTCAAATACCTCAAGCCAGTAAGGCTTGTGCTCTCTACTGACTGATAGGTGTGTGGCCTGGGTTGTTGCTGTTGTTAGGTGCCGCCAAGTCAGTTTTGACTCATAGTGACCCTGTGTACAACAGAATGAAACACTACCCAGTCCTGCACCATCCTCCAGTTGTTATGCTTGAACCCATTGTTGCAGCCACTATGTCAATCCATCTCATTGAGAGTCTTCCTCTTTTTCGTTGACCAAGCATGTAAGGCCATTTTCAAGACTGACTTGGCTTTTACTTTCTGTTCACTCTCTAAGAGTCTTCTTTGCACATGAGCTCATGCTCCATCAGCCAAGAATGAATGGCTGTGTCCATTCCAGTCTCTGCTGTGCATACTCACAGCCTCTGGTCAACGCAAGATATATGGAGAGCTTAGGAAGCCCCCCTTTGATAAATTCCAGGAGCTCCTTGATAAATTCCTGGCTGCTTGCCCCACACAGGCCTGCAATCTCAGAGTAACAGAGGCACTGTTTCACCCTTTTGCCTTGCCACTACAATCTCCATTTTAGCTGACAACTCTCCGTATCAAGTGAGCCTCCTCCAGCCATGGCAGCAAGTCTGCTGGTTTTCACATCCTGTCCTGCCCTGGCTGAACTGCCACTCTGACGGAGCTTGGGGGAGGAGGGACACAGCTCCAGGCTTCAATACCATAAACTTGTGCTATAGTTTCCATGAGTAAATGTTTCTCAACATTTGATCCAGATCACTGAAATTGTCTTTCACAATTTTGTCGAGATTTATAGCTCCTTTTTGAGGAGAGTATTTGAAGACCACCTCCCTCCATCATGCCAGAAGTGAATCTCTCACTTTACTGTGTTTTAATTTATAAGTAGATAGATATAGATATATAATGTCCTAGGAGTTGCTAGATAAATGATAGTCTGCCATCTACCAGGTGCTAAGACATAGTTAACAAAAAAGAATTGGGGAATGTTACCTTGACACATCTATAAAATCCTGGCTGTAACTAGCAGTTTTGGCTTCTTGTGGCTCTGGATTTCAAAGAAGGTGGGAATGTAGTAAAAGTTGTCTCTGTCTTTAGGATTCAAGACCACCTTGGATATCACGTACAGCATGTAGGACTGCTTCTTTCAACATATATGTGCATGCATTCATTGAGTTTCCACAGGGAAGCAGGCACTGCAGGGCTCCAGATATCTTCTCAGTGTAAGTGCCAGACTCCTAATTCTTAGTCTTCTTTTTTATTTAGTATAGCTAGTGACCGTGGTCAAAGCATGATATATTGCTGAATGATAGGCTCTGTTTTGATCTTTAGTGCAAATTTGTATTGGGTGATAACCTCAGTTAATGAGTCCTCTAGGAGTGAAGCCTTTTTATAGATGTTACTGAAAAAATGACCAAATTTACAAGACTGGGAAGATAACTGTGCACAACATCTCCTGGTCCTCCTCCCATGAATCCACACTGCTTTTGGGTGTCCCCATGCAGCTACAGAAAGAAAGATTTAGTCCTTGGCAAAGTAGTGAGGTCTGCAAGAATGCAGTGTTTGCCCTTGCTTTTGCTGTACAGACTTCTTTAATTTTTCTCTAATTTGTTCCTCCTTCAGACACCCAGTGTCCTCCTTTGTCATCAGTAAACAATCTGACATTAGTAATTATTACTAAATAATAGATGTATGTAATGAGAATTATTTTCTTTAGTAACTTTTTACATTTTAGACTGCTTTTCTCTGTGGAATAAAAATCCTTTTCCTTGTTAAAGGAACTTCAGGCATTTCCAAGCAGGTGAGAAATTAGCAAAGGAAGGCAACTCTATGCAGTCTTATTAGTGATCGTACCTATTGCCTTATCATTTCCAGAAAGTTTTCCAGCTGCCTATCATGTCCTGACGACCACACTAGATAGTAGGCATACAGCACAAACAAGACAGACATGATCATCACTGCCCAGATAACTGTTTAGTTACAATTATGATAAATACTGTAAAGAAGACTACTATAAGGTGCTTGCCATGGATTGAGTTGTGTCCCCCAAAGATATCTGTCAGCTTGGCTAGGTCATGATTCCCAGTGTTGTATGATTGTGTAATCTGATGTGATTTCCTAATGTGTTGTAAATTTTGTCACTGTGATGAGGTTATACTGATGAGGTTGACAAGATTAGATAGTGTCTCAATGCAATCTCTTTTGAGATATACAACAGAGAAGCGAGCAGAGACACATAGGAATCTCATACCGCCAAGAAAGCAGCGCCGGGAGCAGAGTGCGTCCTTTGGACCTGAGGTTCCTGTGCTGAGATGCTCCCAGCCCAAGGGAAGACTGATGCATCACAAGGACCTTCCTACAGAGAGAGAGAAAGCCTTCTCCTGGTGCTGATGCCCTGAATTTGGACTTGTAGCCTACTGGACTGTGAGAGATTAAACTTCTCTTTGTTGATGCCATCCACTTGTGGTATTTCTGTTAGAGCAGCACTAGATGACTAAGACAGTGCTATAGAACATGTGTTAGGGAGATCTCACCTGGTCTTCAGGCATCAGAAAGAGACTTCCCTTACCTTTCCCAACTTAAAACCATCTCATCTCTTCATTACCATGCAGAGTTTATGACTTTTAGCACATTTGGAGTATTTTTATATTTTGGTGACTTTTTAATGTAGTTTTAAAAAGTGCAGTCACAAACTTATAGAATAGTTGAAGAAGGCTCACCTGTATACACTTTACTCATATTCACTGATCAGTCTCCTTTAATCAGGAATATTTCTTAGCCTTTCTTTTTCTCTACTTTGATATTTTTAAAGAGTACAGGCCAGTTATTTCATAGCTTGTCCCTCAGTTTGGGTTTGTCTTATGTTTCCTCATACGATTCATGTGATACATTTTTAGCAGGAATACCACAGAAGTGATATTGTGTCCTTCTGTGTTTGTCATTTAAGGAGGTACGTGATGTCGAATTGTCCCAGTATTACTTACATTAACTTCAGTCACTGATAAAGGTGATACTGTGCCAGGTCCATCACTACAGAGTTATTATTTTTCTCTTCATTATTAATAAGTAATTTGTGGGGAGAAGCTATGAAACTATGTAAATATCTCATGTATTGTCCCAGATTTGACCAGTGGGAGCCCAAGTTGGTTCCTGTGGCTTCACCATCCCTTCCTGGTAATAAAATATATATAACAATAATTTTGCCATTTTAACCATTATTAAGTGTATATTTCAGTGATATTAGTTACATTAACCATGTTGTACAGCCATCAGCACTATTTCCAAAAAGATTTTCATCACGCCAAATGGAAACTCAGTATCCCTTCTGCAGTAACTCACCCCCTCCTCTCCCAAGGCCCTGATAACCACAAATAAACTTTTGTCTCTGTGCATTTGCCTGTTCTATATTTCATATCATACATCATTTGTCCTTTTGTGTCTAATGTATTTCACTTAGCGTAATGTTTTCAAGGTTCATCCATGTCGTCCTTTTGTGTTTAGTTGATTTTTTTGTAGTGAACCATTTTGATTCTGTTCTCGTTTCCTTTTGTGTATATTTTTAGATATTTTTCTTTGTGGTTACCATGGGGATTATATTTAATATCCTAAATTTATAACAGTCTAATTTAAATTGATACCATCTTGACTTTAATAAGATACAAAAATATTTCCAATGCTTCTCCCCTCCTTTATGTTGTCACAAGTTGCATCTTTATACATGTGTGCCCAATAACAAATTTATTACTATTTATACGTTTGTTTTTCTCCCCATGTAGGACATAACAAGTAAAGTTACAAACCTAAAACACCATAAAACTGACCTTTATGTTTGCCCATGAAATTACCTTTACTGAGAATCTTTTTTTCTTCATACGACTTCAAGTTGCTCTCTAGTGTCTTTTCATTTCAACCTGAAGAATATTGAAAGCAGCAAAAGAGAAGTGAATTTCTTATAGGGCAGGTCTTGTGGTAACAAACTCCCTCAGCTTTTGTTTGTCTGGGACTCTTAATTTTGCCCTAATTTTTGAAGGACAGTTTTACTGGATATAGAATTCTTGGTTGACAGTTCTTTTCTTTCTAGCACTTTAAATATGTCATCCCACTGCCTTTTGGGCTGCATGGTTTCTGAAGAGAAATTGGTGCTCAATCTTGAGAATCCCTTGTATGTGATGATTCACTTCTCTTTTGCTGCTTTTAATATTCTCTATGTTTAGTTTTCAAGAGTTTGATGTTTCTTGGTGAGGATCTCTTTGGGTTTATCCTGCTTGGAGTTTGTTGAGCTTGTTGGATGTGTAGATTCATGTCTTTTGTCAAATTTGGGAAGTTTTGGGCCATTGTTTTTTCAAATATTCTTTCTGCCCCTTCTGTCTCTCTCTTCTCCTACTGGGACTCCCGTGATGTATATGTTGGTTTGCTTCATGGTGCCCCACAATTCCTGTAGGCTCCCTTTTGCTCCTCAGACTCAATAATTTCAATCATCCTATCTTAATTTAACTGGTTCTTCTTTTGCCAACTCGTATCTTTTGTTGAACCCCTTCAGTGAATTTTTTATTTCAGTTATTGTACTTTTCAACTCCAATATTCTTGTCTGGTCCTTTTTTAAAATTCATTCTTTTTATTGATAGTCTCATTTTATTCATGTTCCTCTACCATCTTTCTGATCCTTTAGTTCTTTGTGTTATCTGTTAGTTCTTTGAGCATATTTAAGATTGTTTTAAAGTCATTTTCTAGTCTGTAATCTGGGCTTCCATGGGGACAGCTTTTGTCATTTTATTTTGCAATTTTGAATGGATTATCCTTCCCTGTTTCTTTGTTTGCCTAGTGATTTTTTTGGAAACTCGAGCATTTGCATGTTAATATTTGGTAACGTTAGAAATCAGATTCTTCCCCTTCCTTAGGGTTTGCTGGTTTTTTGTTTTTTAGTTGTTGAAGCCTGTAGTCTTCCATTTGTTTAGTGACCTACTATTTTTGCAAAGACTGCCCTCTTGTATGTGTGTGAACACTGAAGTCTCTTCCTTGGCTTTTGTTCAGCTAGTGTATCGACAGAGATTTCCTGGAAGAACATGCAGGAAAATCAAACAAAACAAAACTAAAAAAAGAAAAAGAAACCTTTTCCAGTCTTTGCAGATTGTTTCTGTGCCGGGCCTTTAGTTAACACTTAACTAGGCTTGTAATGTGTTTCACCGAAGATGAAAGTGTAGGGTCTTTTCAGGTAATTTCTGAGCCTTGGGCATGTGTGTGGCTTTCTCAATTCCCCTGTATAACCGCTTTTGAAAGCCTTAATTTCCAAAAGAAACTCTCACCCTGGCTTCTCCTTGCAGTTTTTTGGCACCTATTCGTAGTCTTTAGCTCCAGGCACCCACAGGCCAGGCTGGCTATAGCCTTTGAGCAGTTTGGGCATTACCTACTGCCCCTTATCCCTGCATGAGCTCTGAGACAAGCCAAACCAAATCAACTCACCTTGAGTGCCTTGCTTCAGACCTTTAGGCAGCCCCCAAACAAGTTAGAACAGACATACACAAAAATTTCCAAATAAAGTCTGCTCTGCTTTGTCTGGAGCCAAAGATGAGGCTCCCTCTCTGGGAGTGCTGGCCCTTGCTACTTTTGAGATGGCCGCACGAAGCCGAGGAGGGAGTAGGGTGCAGGTAATTAGAAAACTAAAACTCTCCTACCTTATAGAAGTTACCTTTTTCTAGTTTCAGCATTTCCTTAGTTGCTGTAACCCTTTGGTTTCCAGAGTTCTTTGACAATGTCAGTTCTGCCCGTTTCTGCTTGTGTTTTTGTTTTTTGGTGTTTTTGTTGGGGGACAAGAGTGTAGATTTGCTCATGCCACCATCTTGTTCCAGCCTCTTTTCCTGTGGCCTTTTGATACGTCATCATCGTTCTTTGAGCATGTCATTACTTTCTAGTGCAACAAGAACTTCTAGGCTCATTTTCTGCTGCCCAGCTTCATCTCTGCAATCAGCCATTTCTCCAAGCCTTGGCTTCTTTAGTGAAGAATGGCATTTCACAACTAGTAACTGGCATCAAATGAGCTCCTTGCAGCTAGTAGCATGTTTTATTCTCTTCAAGTTTGTGTTTCATGATATTTACCTTAATCCTTCTTAGCTGACATTTCAAAATACATTCTTAAACCTCCCTTGTAATTAGTATGTCAGAGTATCTCCTACAAATCAACATTTTATTAAAACACCTCCTTTTTAGTAAAAAAGGAAGGATTATA